AGAGACCCAATTCTCTCCATCGAGCGAAGCGGATAACATCCATTTGCGCCATTTTTTCCATGAATTTCCACATGGAACTGACAACTGCAAGCATTTTTTTTAAATTTGTTTTCATAATAAGGTTTTGTTCATAACGACAGGTCTATTTGGGAAGCTTAATCCATTGCTTGGAGCTAGCGATCAACTTAGAACTTGTGTCATACGCGCGTGGTAGAAACAGAAAACCTGGACTGCATTGTTGACTAACTTCACCTTTGCGGGAAAAGGTGAGTCGCAGACGGCGAATCATTTTTTTATCTTTCGATTCACTTATGAGTACAACTTCATTTATATATCTCTCCTATTCTATTTTACTGATACAAAAAGAATTAAAGTTACAACAACTAGCAAAGACTAAGTCAAAATCCGACATTCAACATGATTGGAACTCATTTTTGAAAAATTAAAGGGTATTTAACGAAAGTTTTTTTAGCGTTTCTTATTCAGAAAATTGGATATTAGATACAAAATGACTAAAAACTTCGGCAAATACGAATTACGGAAATACGGAAATTTTAATTTTTTTTTTTTTTTTTTTACAAGACAGCACACTAAAAGTAGAGTTATAAGGAAAAAAGGATCTAGCAACCGTTTCCTCATAGACTCCTGTCCTTAAAAAGACCGTAAAAAATGAAATAGAGGCAATGCATAATTCAAGGCACGAATAAAATTTATTGGATGTCTTACCACCTTGATGTACTACGAGCCTGCTGCTTAATGTTCCTACATGATTTTAAAAACCTAAATGCTGTAATGTTTCCGTGATGGCTAAAAGGTTCCAAGGATTCTGTTATCGATTATAAAACGACGATGTAATGCCACTTTCTGAGTGGCCTTGAGTTGTTTTCCTTCATCGGAAGCAGTATTGCTATGGTTGTCAGCGTTTAACTTCCCGAACTGAATATTTCATGAATGCTTAAGTAAAAACCAGGCAACTCCTAATTTACCCTTCGTTAAGTGTAAGATGAAAAGTTCAGGATGAAGACAAGTTTCACCACAATATTCTGTATTTCTAGTCTTGCATTTCCTTGATTGTTAATTCCATATTATACATATGCACGTACTTCCTTCGTTTCAAGGCGCCAATAAAACACATTTAACGAAAGATGAGTCGTAATCGATAGAAAATAAGTCCACAGGAGCTTTACTCGAACAGTTTGGTCTCTACGTAATTGCAAAAAATAGCACGATTTAATTTATCGCCTGCCTAAATAAAGTACTCTCTACGTCGTTGAAAACGCGAATGAGACCTGTCGACAGTTAAAAGACAACTATCTGATAACAACTCGAATGGTAAACAGGGCCTTAAGAGCGACGCTGAATATGTTTCCTGAAAAATGCAAGCCTCTTTAACTTAGGCAAAACCCCATCTCTTGAAGCTTATTTTGAAACAATTTCACTCTTCAAGCTGGAAAAATATAGGAGATAATTTATTAATGAAGTCATTTGCTGTCTTATAGAAAGACATAAACAGCTTCTGGTATCTGTCTTGTCTGTCATCTTG